AGAAGAAGGTGTGACTACCGGCGATGACGTCAGCGCGACAGCCGACCCTGCAGCCTTGGTGCAGCCTGGTGACGACGACGGCGTGACAGGAGAAGGGGAAGATAGAGTGGCGGCCGAGGAGGAAGATGGTCCAACGCCAGAGAGCCAAGGTGTCACAGGAGACGGTTTGACAGGAGAAGAACTGGATCCATCGCCCGGGGAGGACGAGTTTCCAACGCCAGCGAGTGTAGTTGATACGAGACCTAAACCTGAAGACGGCGAAACAACTGCAGGGGAAGCCAAACCAACACCTGCAACTGACGATGGTAGCGCGCCTGAAGATAAGGACGATCCAACACCACAAACTAAAGACAGTGAAGAGCCAGAAGACGAAAAGGGTGTGACAACTGAAGATGGAAAAACTCTGACGCCCGATGGTACAGCTGATGCTGGACTTAAGACCAAAGACGGTGACGAAACAGTTGGAGAAGACGGACGCACACCTGTTGACGAAGATGGTGCTACGTCAGAGGAAGAGCCCGCGCCGGAAAGTGACGACGGCGACATGCCTGAGGATACAGAGGATGGAACAACTGAAGATGGCGACGATCCGTCACAAGCAAAAGATGACATCCCAACAAGAGAAGACGGACCTACGACTGCAGACGAGTACGGACCGACACCGGATAGTGCAGAAGGCATAAAACCTGACGGCCCGGACGGTGTATCAACCGGAGATGAAGAGGGTCCCTCACCTGAGGAAGACGAGAAAGAATTCCCAACGCCCGAAACTATCATAGACGCAAGACCCAAAGACAAAGACGATACAAAAACAGCAGGGGAATCCGTACTCACACCTGAAGACAGAGACGGCCCTGCCACACCTACAGATGAGGATGGTCCCACGCCGGAGAGCAAAGACGGCGTCGACTCTGTGGGTGAAGAAGATGTTTCAACTACAGACGGAGAGACACTAGTAGGCGAAGGCACTCCAGCGCCCGGAACAGAGGATGGCACTGGAATCGACGAAAAAGCAGGTGCAAGAGCAAAAGAAGAGGATGACATGACAGCCAGGACGACAGATGGGAAAACACCAGAGGAAGGATCGGCAGAAGTCCCTGAAGGCTCGGGAGTGGAGGAGGATGGTTCAGCTGAAGGGAGTGGAATAGAGACGACCGAGGAGGGATCTGCAGAAGGATCAGGAGAAGAGGACGAGGGCTCGGGTGTCGAGGAGGAGGCGTCAGGAGCAGAACTCGAAGGAAGTGGGGCAGCAACAGCCGGAGACGGTTTAAAGCCTACGGATGAGGACGCCTTCCCGGAGGCAATTAAAACTGTAGAAAAAACGGAGGACGGTGATGCTGGAGTCACACCTGAGGGTACAGATGGCGTCACAACGGACGATGAGAGGCCAACACCTGGTCCTGACGACGACGCCATAACTGAAGGTGCAGGGGATGCCATAACGGAAGAAGGTGCCACGCCAGGTCCTGAAGACGCTGCAGAGTCTGAGGATACAGATGTCGTAAAATTGGATGGAGAAGACGGAGAAACCCCCGATGATGATGTCTTCCCGACCCCTGAGACTAAAGATGGTGCAAAGCCTGCCGTGGCAGTGGAAGGAGAGGGCCCTACGCCGAGGCCTGAGGACGCTTTGCAGCCTGACGACAAAGACAGTGTTACAACTGACAGAGAAGACGGGGCAGCCCCTGGTGACGATATTCTTCCGACACCCGAAGGTGTCGATGGCTCAAAACCTTCCAGTAAAGTGACAGATGAAGAGGGACCGACGTCGCAGCCTGACGACTCTGTACAGTTAGAGGGTAAAGACACTGTTACAGCTGAAGGAGAAAAAGATGAAACAACTGACGATGAAGTTCTTCCGACATCCGAAAGTACAGATGTTGCAAAACCCGCCGATATTCTGAGACCTGACATAAAAGACGGAGACATCACCGACGATGAAGAAGCTCTAACAACCGAGAGTGAAGTTTCTGAGCCAACAGAAGGACAAGACGAGAGGACGTCAGATGAAGATGCTGCGAAGCCCGAGGGTACGACCCCGGACAAAGAACACGACGCGACGGCGAAGGACGATGAGACCCCGAAGAAAGAAGAACTTACAGAATCCCATGAAGGATCCGGCGTAGAGGAGGAGGGTTCAGCTGAAGGGAGTGGAACAGAGACGACCGAGGAAGGATCTGCAGAGGGATCCGGAGAAGACCACGAGGGCTCGGGTGTCGAGGAGGAGGCTTCAGGAGCAGAACTAGAAGGAAGCGGGGCAGAAACCGGCGATAAGAAAGACACACAAGTACCTGGCAAAGATGGCGTGGCACCAGACGACGGGGGAGATTCGCCTCTCAGGGCTGAAGATATCAGAGCGCCCGTAGATGATATGGAAGGTCCGACGCCCGCCGGGGACGTCGACACAACGTCCGAGCCTGACGTCAGTGCAATACCCGGCGATAAAGACGGTGTAACAACAGACCCAACAGGAGAAGACGTGCCTGGAATCGAAGACGGTCCAACGACTGATGCTGAAGATGACGGCGTGACAACACAAGAGGAAGATGGTGTTACAACAGACGAGGCAGGAATTGAAGATGACCAAACGCCTGCTGGTGAAGATGTGACAGCTGAAGGAGATGACGGAAGAAAACCTGAGACTGACGACAGCCCTACTCCAGGGACTGAAGACGGCGAAATTCCTGATGATAAGAAGAGTGTCACAACGGAAGACGGAGAAGGTCCCACAGAAGAAGCAGGCGAGGAGGATATCACACCTGAAGGAACAGGTGTGGACGTGTCTGACGATGAAGAACTTCCAACACCCCAGACTAAAGACGGTACAGCAGCTCAGGGTAAAGACACTAAGACTGATGAAGAGCCATCTAAGACTGGGGACGGTCCGACCTCAGCCAGCGAAGCTGTTGCAAAGCCGGATGGGGAGACAGATAAGGATGAAGATGGTCCGACTCCAGAGAGTGAAGAAGGTACGAAACCAGGAGATGGAGAACGTACTACACCGGAAAGTGAGGACGGTGCAAGACCCAAGGATAAAGGGCCACCATCGACGGAAGGTGAGACAGATACGGAAGATGTTCCGACTCAAGACAGTGAAGAAGTTACAGGGACGGAAGGTGACGACGGCCCTGCGCTAACAATTGATGATGTTACAGATGGCGCGATCACTGAAGATGATGAGACAAAAGATGGCCCCACACCTATTTCACTGACAGAAGATAGAGACGGGATACCCGAGGAAGACGAGCCAACACCTGCCACCTCAGAAGAGACGAATGCCACGGTCTCTAAGACAACGGACGGAAAGGCACCAGAGGGAAAGCAGCCAGCAGAAACCCACGAAGCCTCCGGCGCTGAGCTTGAGGGCTCAGGTGATAAAATCGAAGGGAGTGGAGAAAAGGATGAAGGATCTGGAGTAGAAATGGAGGGAAGTGGTACAGAAGGATCTGGAGAAGACCACGAGGGCTCGGGTGTCGAGGACGAGGCTTCGGGAGCAGAGCTAGAAGGAAGCGGGGCAGACACATCACGTAGAAAAGATGATAAAGCGCCTGGGAAGGGCGAGAAAAGTCCGACACGCGATGGTGACGTGCCCGCTGAGCCGTTGCCATTAGAAGCTACAACGTCGGTAGGGCAAACTGACGATTCTGTAGGAGGTGGGGAATTACCAACTGAGGCGATTGCCGCACCTGTCGGAGATGGTGACGAACAGCCAACCGACGGAGCGAAAGTAAATGAAGAAGGGCAACAAACTTCCGGAGAGGCGGCAGATACGGCTACTGGGGCAACGGAAACTGCAGACACATCTAATGGAGAAGCTGCGGCCACAGAAGGACCAGAAGCAGACACTGCGGGATCGGAAGGAGACGACGACACTGTAAAGGGAGGTGACACAGCAGACGCGTCTAATGGAGAAGATGTAGCTTCGGCCACAGAAGCACCAGAAGCAGACACTGCGGGATCGGAAGGAGACGACGACACCGTAGAGGGAGCTGGGGGTGGTGAGGTTCCAGAGGATGACCTGGAGCCAACTGATGGACGGGGACCTGCTGAGGGGGCACCAGGAGAAGGTGATTTATCTTTCAGTTGTTCTGTATCTGTATTAGAGTTTTACTAAATCATTCGTTTATACTACTTGGTGCTAGAGCAACGACAATAGAACACACAGTCACCAACCTCATCACAGGGTCATCTTTATGTTTGAAAATCTTTCTTTCTCTGCATGTCCATGTCTTCAAGGTGACAGTACAACGCCAGGGGAAGACAAAGATGAGACATCCGAAGACGGCGTCCCTGCAACTGGAGAAGACGACGAACTAACATCAGATGATGGAGAGGAGGAATACGAAGAACCAACGGATGTAACGGCAGATACAACAGAGAAATCATCAACGAGTATTGAGGATACAACGGAAGGTACCGTAGAAACTGCGGAAATTCCCGAGGATGCAACGAAAGGTGCCGACGGAACACCGGAAGGTGCCGAGGATTCAACGAAAGGTGACGAAGAGAGACCAGAAGATACCGAGGATACAACGGAAGCTGCCGATGATCAAACCGACGGAGACGGAGAGGAACCTACTGGAGATTCTGTTGTTGAAGATTCTGATTCGGATGGAGATGCGACAAAGACGGGAGAAGACGACGGCGATTCAGGAATGAGCGGAGGAATAGAACCGGAGGGTTTGGACCACGCTGCAGGGGAGTTAGGATCAGGGGATGCCGGGTCAGCAGAAGGTCCGGTAGAGGGTTCCGGCACGGAGGTGTCACCGCAGACGGGACCGGAGGAGGACGGGTCGGGCTCGGGTCTGGGTCAGGACATGGATGGTTCTGGATCGGGGGATGACACGGGATCCGGCATGTGGGAGGAAAAACCGATCAACGACGGGTCCGGGGATTTCCCTGTGTTGGATAAAGTGTTGGAACACCTGGTGAGACAGAACGACGAACTGGACCAGCAGAGCAAGGCCATCGACGCACTTAAGGTGAGGCAACTCTACCCTTGTATTTGGCACATTTCTTTCTCTCTCATCTGTTAAACCAAGAGTGCCGCGTATGTTGTTGCAGAAGGGAGTATATCTTTGTACATAGTCTCTCATATCATTGTATCTTCTTTTTCATACATGTGTTGTATTTGCAATTAGCCCTCGGGCATGTATTTGCAATAAACTTGCTTCTTTATAAAATGGCTACATGAATCAATATATTATCAAAGCGATCAGCTATTCAACCGACCATTTATCTGACCAATCCGTCAAATTGTTTATTGATCAATAGACCCTATCAATAATAATCACTTTTAAACGTATGGAGAAGAGAAACATGAACTTGATAACACGTCGTTGCATAAACTACTTTCAAACCTTTCCGAAGCCTCTTAAACAATTAAGCAACCAATCTATCAAATTGTATATCAATAAAGTAATAGCTACTCATTAAAACGCATTTGCTGACTTCATGGAGACGGCGATTATGAAAATCGGTGACAATTGGTGGCAAAAACAACTTCAGAACCTATTCGAATTTTGGTAACCTTCTGTAGAAAGCGTTCACAATGAGAGGCACGTTGCCTTGAAGACTTTTTAGGTTTTAGACACACCTACGATTTGGACCTTCTACTGTCACTGTCAATTACCGTAAGCAGCATACGACTGTACTCAGACACAACAGACTTTGAAATTGGACTCGCCGTAATGGTTCTAGGTGAGGATACTACTTACTTACTTACTGCCCTTAATGCCAGTCCCGGCATGTAGGGCAGCAGGTGAGGATACCAGTATCTACCAAATCCGGTAGATAATTCGGTAATCTGTGTATTTTGTATGGTTTTAGGAAGAACAAAACTAAAATAGTCACGGTGATATCATGATCTGTTCCTTGGCTCGTACGTACTGCCCGGACGAGGACATGTCCCGGCATGTGTGTACGTGACCATGCGGCCCTCCAACGCGTCACCTTGCCGCTTGCCATTTGTTTTAGATTTCTTTCCCATCACCACAGCCGCCCTTTCAATTGTGCCGGGCCGGGATCCATAAAACCTCGCCCTCTCACCCACATTTACCTCAACTCTGACCGGACGATAACCAAACATAAAGTTACTGAAAGAAAGACCCGTGTCGATTTTCATAGTGGGTCGACGAGAGGCCAGGAAACTGGCCGATATCATAAAGAGTCACAGACGTTGAACTGTTCTTGGCATTTCCATTCGACCTTAACTCGGGAGACAGTACGTACCTGATGGCAAACAGGTGTGGTCTGCCCATCTGTGCGGATCCTACAGTAGCCACGTAGAGTTGTTTCTAGGTCACGTCTAGTATCGTTGTTTTGGAAGATGACACCTTAAGATTATAACACAGAAACGTAAGCTTGCTTCGGTGTCAAAGTGACATATAAGAACTTGTCTACTGGACGTAACTCATCGTCTTGGGGCGCTAATTGTGGGTCAGGTCTTCCATAGTTGTTTTGCAAAGATGCATCTTTTCATTATAACGCAAAAGGCAACTTTGTATAAATGTAATGCATGATATGACGATAGTCTTACACAGTTACATCGAATGATCTAGACGAATGATCTACATCTAGACGTACAGAAATTACAATTGTTTGTACACAGTGACAAATCAGAATATAAGGCACCCAAGCATGGCGGATATTCTATCAAGAGTTTCATAAAAATGACCTCACAAATGTAGTATGAGTAATAACGTGAATGAAAGACTTTAATGTTCATTATTGTTTCCAAATCAAACTGCACAATTTGAATGATCGATGGTAATATAACGCAATTTCAACACTAAAGCTATTAAGCTGTAAGGTTATCCCTATCATATATACTGAGGACGCTAACCATGTGTTTCGTCTGAAGTGTAGGACTCCTACGTGAAGAAGGAACAAGTGGCTGAAGTCGTACAGAACCTGCTGGAGGAGATTCTCGCCTCTGATCAGCCCAAGTCTAGAGTCCGTCGAGCTGTAGGTGAGTACAAACAATTTAAAAGACTCTCAACTGGGGAAATACGATCATGATCATATTCTCACTTATCTTCCTGGCGACCCCGTCATGTATACCGTTACATTGAATGTGCACGTTCTATGACATCAATTTCTTTGATTTCTTGTTAATTGATAATTGTTAATTAGTTAATTCTAAATCCACCCGCCATAACACTTCTTTAAACAAATCCCGATGAAGTCGCCTGGACCTAGTGTCTTCAGAATAGCACCACTTGTAGTACTAGTGAATAGTAACGTTAACGGTCTCTAGACATTTTGGACGCCTCGGGGTAAATTGTAAATCAATGTACGGCACCATATTGAGAGCCCAACATTCCAACTTGTTACGGGATCACCTGCGAGTTCAATGGGTGTGTTTCCTTCTACATGCTTCATTCATACCGCACAGTTTATAGTTACAGCTATGTTTTGTCTTCAAATGTTTGCCGGGGATTGTGTTTTTAGTGTCATTCCAAATCTGACCAAAGTTTGAGGTCACTTTTTATCCTGGTTGTCAGCGGCTCGATTGGCGAAATCGCGTAAAGCTGGTCCGAGGTTTGTGTCATGGGAACTCTGCCAGGGCTGTGGTTTGTTCGCGCCAGGTTGTCCCTGTCTGGGGTTGTCTGATGCAGGACAGGTGGAACTGCTCTGACGACAAACTACCTTGTATGTCTTTCTCCCCCTCTCTCTCCCTCTCCTCTCTCTCTCTTTCTCTCTCACTGAGTCTCTCTCCCCCCTCTCTCTTTGAGTCTCTCTCTCTCTCTGAGTCTCTCTCTCTCTCTGTGTGTGTATGTGTGTGTGCCTGTGTGTGTATGTGTCTGTATCTACATGTATCTATCTGTCTGTCCTCACACTCTCTGTGGTGAGGTTATACGTCAGTCTAGTATCTTGCACTGGCGTTGTTCCAGCCAAATCCAAAATTGTTGGGAGATAACCAGTGTTATGTCTCCCAATATTTTTCATTCAATGGTATATCCATACAAATAAATGAATAAACCGATCCAAGCATTATACAACAAGATTCCGTTGCGACAACTTAGCCTCGCTAGCTCTGTCATAGGACGCAGAAGCAATGCTAGTATTGTGTACGAAAGGGGCGTAGTCTCGCGAATGCCGAACACATGTGTAAGGTTTGTTCATTCCATTGTGATGTTCCCTACTGATCTGTGAGTAACCAAGACAAACTAAGTGTGGGCATGGTGACTGATAAACGCGGCCTTTTTGAGAGCTGGGAAAAGTATTCAAACGGTGCAAAACGCCCCAAAAATGCAGACATCGTTTGTCGTAAAAATGCAGACATCGTTTGCCGAAGGTAGGGTCTTAATTTGTCACGCTTGTCATGTTGATAACTTCAAACGTTCAGTAGCTATATATAGCCCTTGACCTCTCGTGACTTTTGAGCCTTGTTTCGTGCTGACCTATTGTTAAGTCCCACCCTATCACCATAATGTGTAGTGAGCACTGGTCCACTATTATATTGGGAAATTTCAATAATCTTATAAGTTTGATCCCCCTCCCCAATCCCCAACTACATATATTGCGACAGCAACGGAATTAATTAACTAACATCTGTGTTTCGGCTAATGGACTTACGTCTAATATGTCAGGAAACGTCCAAACCGACTTAATGTTTTTTTTTGGATAATCTCCAAGCAGATCTTTGGGTGGGGGTAAGGCAGTATCAAATTGGCCAGTCTTCGGTGGGGAAATGCATACAGACTGGCCAATTTGATACTGTCTTACCCCCACCAAAAGATCTGCTCGGAGATTATTTTTTGGAGAATGTCTGCTTTTTAATTCCTATACATACATTTATTTGCAAAACATCTAATTAATGTACGTTCACAATTTACATTGCTAGCTTGCTGCGCTCGCCACTGTCCATTTCCTATCAGACAAGATGGCGGTAGTACGTCCTGGTGACCTTGAAGGTCAAACTTCAGGTCACTGTCTCAGTGACACTGATTACTACAGATGACTCGGTATCTCTGGCGAGGGAAGGACCGTGACCTTCAAGTCCTGGTCATGTCTCCCGTAATCGAATGTCTGCAAGGTCAAGACGATCTCATCGGTCATGATTTTGGAACGCTGACCTCAGTATCCCGAAATAGTACAGGAGCCAAGGCCTGAAAAAATGAGTTCGTTCAACCCATCTTACCGATATTGTGGTAGAGGGGGCCCTTTTGCATCGTAAATTATGTTTTTTTCTCAAATTGGTATCATGCTCCCACTAGCGCTAATTAAAGATGTATTGTTAGTGGGACACAGGTGTAAAAATGCATATTTTTAAGGGGGAGGGGCCAAAATCTAAACATCAACATTTTTTCCTAACAAATGGTACACTGGTAAAAAAGTTAATTTAAAAAAAAATATCTGACACCATTCGGGAGACAAAGCTCATTAGTATTATTTTTTTTATTTGTGCTATGAGGATGATCCTGGTCTGGTCATGCCCACAACCCTAGCTTGTTGTTAAACTGGCAATAAACGTCAGGCTAGGGCGCTTTGATCTAGAACTGTGATTTATGCAGTACGATAGCCCAGGTATTTATAACTGAAGGTGGGAGGGGGGCATTCTTTAGTAGGCTTCATTTTTTTCTTGCCCGGGTGATATTTAGTATTTGGGCATCTCAAAATGCAATGGTAATGACTTCTTAAACTGTCATCGGATCTACTCGAGTAGAATTATTCATTAATGACGAAGAAAGACTGGTCACGTCCCTCATCGAATCATAAATGCTCAACTATCGCTAGAGGTCACGCCGTACAGTGTATCATCATGATATTCAGCTGATGGCAAGGGGAGGGATGACTATCCTTTACTGCTATCTTGTCGAACACGCATTAAATGTCTAGGTTAGGACATTGACCATCATTCTTTCTGGAACTGTGATCTCATGAGTTGGGACTGGAGGTGGGGAGGGGGGCAATGAAGCTGCTGCTGATCATGACTGTTTTTGACATTTGATTTTTTTCAAGGTGAGCGCTATGACAGGGGGGCATAACCTCTGCTACCGTGTTCTTTGTGTCCCATCAGGTTATTTATTGATATTAGGGGGTTCAGTTACAGACTTCAAACGTCTTCACTTGCGGACAGATAATGAATCCAACCTGTTCCAGTTCTGAGATGACCTTCTGGTTCGGTTATCTCTGCTCTCCCGTCTAGAGAAAGACAGACGACACGCCCCTACTCAATGGTAAACCATCTTCCGTAAGCTGTGTCGTGAAGATCTACTGGAAAAAAAGAACACTGTCATCTAACGTTATAGACTCTGTGGTACATGTTAAAAGCAAAATTGGTTTTTAATTTGTGATTTAAAGCGGCGCAGAGGGGAGATTTTTTACAGGCTGACTCTTAAACTAAATGTCATCCCGACAAGTGTTTTAGATTCACGAGATGGGAATCTGCTCAGTCTGCACGTGGGCTTCCGCATGTTGTAGATTTTACAGTGTAGGTGGTTTTATGTTTTACATAATTCAAATGGCCATGATCTATACAAGGCTTGTACTGTCAGCAGATCTAGGTGATATGTGAAAACATTGGTTTGAGTGTTTCAGAACAGGTGTAGGGTACAGATAAGACTATTTAACAGTATTAAAAGGCAGGCACAAAAGGACCTTGTCTGATTTAGAGTCTAATAGTTTCAGCCTGGTCAGTATCTTCCTCACTTTGCAGCAGACTCGTGCGATTGAGCCTCCTGAGTTCCCTGTGGTATTTTTCCTGTCAATCACAGGCGAGTGACATCACAGAAAGACGTAAATCCTTCAGATCAAATAGACGAGGCAGAAAATTGGGGGGCGGGAAGAGCTTCAAACATTTTGTTTACACAGAGGACGGCGTGAAGTTTGGGACTTGAGCAGCCCCATAAGTACTGCTAACGATGACATGAACCTCTCGTTTGTAAGCCTGGCTATCGCGGGGTGATCTAGCGGGCTCGGCGGGATGGCCACCTGTACGGGTCGGGAGGTCATGCCTGCCCGCGGCGTACACGGATCCCGGCACGTCCCGGGGGCCGTCTGGGCAACAAGTGTTCAGGACATTCCCATTCTGCAAGAGAGCCGGAAAACGCATTAAAGAGAAGCAACCTTGGCAGTGAGCGTAAAGCACCACGGCATACAATCATTTTAAAGTCATCATCACGTATATTTCTGTGCAACTCGTAGATTTTATACCTCTTCATTTATTCCAGACTGTTATGTAGTCTTGGAGACAGACTAGTGATAACTCATAGAGGAAGCTGGAAAATGCATTAAGAGACATATGTTGAGAGTAAAACTGCTGGCACCATAGCGCAAAAATCATTTAAAAGTCATTAACACGTACATCCTGTGTAAGTCCTAGCTTTCACCATTCGTCATATAAGAAGTGGTGAGCATATTAGAGAAAACCTGCAGCTGCCTAACTATCACATTATGGTACCTGTGTACATGTACATGTTACTTCCTCCAATCCTTAGTCCTAGATCTACTATTTTGAAAGTCAACTAACACTTTTAGATGTTGTCATAATGACAAACAAACAAACAAACAAACAAACAAACAAACAAACAAACAAACAAACTGTAAATATCACATCCTTCCCGGTGGTAACAGTGTTGCGCGTGAACTAAACCAGAACCATCTGGTGTGGTCTGGTGCAGTCGGGTTAATTCTGACCCAACCTTGTGCCTGGCATACAGAATCTTGGCTACTGATGCGATATCCACATGTCGGTCCGCCGATGTGCAGTCACGTCCGCTGCCACCAGACCTGCCCTTGAACTAGACACATTTATAACTGTCTCAGACTAAGCAATGGTTGTGCCCAATGTCGCCCCGGTACCGCTGAAACTCACATCAGGGCCGGCAGTATCGGGTCGTGGGTGGTCCGACAACTTAATCCATTTTCAATCCGGATTTACATGTTCAGACTCAAAATAATACTGATAATAAAAATACCAATTGAATTGCGCTTGTGCTTTAACACAGATTCAATCAAAAACTGGTGATGGAATTTGATAATATATCTTTATTGCTTTAGTTCTCTATTGTCTCTGAGTTGTTGTGTTGTTGTTTGCTTAGATATGAGACGCATTTTCTGCAAGCGTCATAGTTTTATAAGCTGTTAGATAATGATATCGATAAGCAACATTTTAGAAAACAAAAATAGTGACCGAGTTTACAGTCGATTCTGTATTTATTATGCGAATGGCAAGCGTTGGTATCAGTTAAGTTGAGAAATACGCTGCCGCTTGGCCCGATTGCCTGTAGTTTCTGTATGAAGAGATTTTGATTTCGACTTCGTCCCAGACTGCTACACCTGTGACCCTTATACAGGGTTTCACTACCCCTAGTACTACAGTACTTTATCGATGTGTAGAAACGATTTGCACCAGTCTGAGGGGCCTCCATCCTGCATAACCGTCCTCTGACCCGGTCAACTGTGTCAGGTCGAATTATTTCCTACAGTACAGAGGAAAGTCCAGGGATGTTAGCCTGATTTTCACTGGCGATCTTAGTGATTAACTAATCCAACATCAAGACGCAAATCGAGGTCAGATAATGCTGAAGGTCATCTTGACAAAATGCTAGTGACACTTAGAAATATAGGCGCCTTGTACATCTCTCCAGCTCCACGGATAAAGTTGATATCTTCTTATTAAGCGTGCTTATGGTAATTTGATTCAAATTTTGCATTTTAGAACGCTTGTACAGGCTTACTTAGGCCCACTTTAGACTGGGAACGGTTTTCCAATCCAAAACCCCTCAAAACGTTTCACAACCGGTAACTGATGAACAAACGCGCTGGCCTAAAAACATTGGACCGAATCACTCCCCCTCTCCTTCCTCCGGCCGGGGTCGAAGGTGGACCGTGTCTGAGGGCGACGCCTACAAATAAGAGCAAATTGCCAGCAGACAAGGCATGCACTGACCAGTCTTACGTTTGGATGCAGTTCTGTAGCAATCTGATAGATGGTGCGCTTCTGTTGTGTTTCAGGTGAGGAAAAAGACGATAGACCCTGCAGCTGCCCTCCCGGCCCCAGGGGACCACCCGGACGGGACGGTAGTGCCAAAACGGCGCCCCCTAGCGGTGCAGTGTTCACGAGATGGGGGAGGGCGGAGTGTCCCAAGACTTCAGTACTTGTGTATGAAGGTGAGGCGATTTGAATTTCTCTTCTACTATACTGGCAAAAGTCAGCAAAAAGATATTGACAGCAAAGTACCATATGTAATATACATTATGTAGTTACTACCATAGGCGAACCTAGTAGGACCGACTTCGTTCCATCTATAACAGTTAGTTGAAGACGCTCTCTTACTGTACAATCAACAACAAAACATCCATCCACAACAGGCACAGCCAGCGGGTCCTCCTTCGACGAACCGGGCGGCGGCGGTAACTACTTGTGCCTCCCTCGGCAGCCGGCGTACAGGGACCCGACGGAGGGCACCCAGCCGTACCGGGCCTACCTGTACGGGGCCGAGTACTGGGCAGTAGACCATGCTAAACAGGTAAGATGGAAAATCTGGACTGGTTGTCATTTTATGTGAAGTATAGTTTGCTTTTACTGAGAATGGAACGTGTTCTATCCGTTCTATTTAGAGTAGAACATGTCGTACACAGTATATAGAACGTGTTCTATGGAACGTGTTCTGTGCAGCCTATTGAATATGTTCGCTATGCATTTTATGGAACGTGTTCTGAATATTCTTTGCAGTCTATAGAACGTGTTATATTCAGCCTATGGAACATGTTCTATGAAGTCTATGGAACGTGTTCTTTGCAGTCTATAGAACGTGTTATATTCAGCCTATGGAACATGTTCTATGAAGTCTATGGAACGTGTTCTTTGCAGTCTATAGAACGTGTTATATTCAGCCTATGGAACATGTTCTATGAAGTCTATGGAACGTGTTCGACACAGTTGACGTCTTTTGAGACGTATTCTATGGAATATGTCCTATGCAGCCTATAGAACGCCTATGTCATATGTCATTTCTACATGTGTTTTTTTTTCACTACAGGACACTCTACACAGGAAGACGATGCCGTGCGCGGTGTGCATGTCCACCGGACGGGCGGCCCAGTTCACCATGCCGGCCCGAGACGACTGTCCCGCCGGCTGGACACGAGAGTACCACGGGCATCTCATGTCCTCACACTACAAACGATCCAGGTCAGGAAAAATAAACAGTACAGTGGGAATATCATTGCCATCTAAATCCATATCTTGGAAAAACCATATCTTTAAAGCGATATTATGTAAGATTTTTGCGCCAAAACTGTAAATATAAATAATGGAAATTTCCCCATCTATATTGTCATTTTCAGTAACTGTCAATATAGTCGCGTCACTATTTCGCTTTTCCGGCGACTCAGCGCAGCGCGAGAATAAGATGCACCAGGCCCGCTGTAGTTTTTTTTTTTTTTCAAAACTACCATGGTCCCAAGCCATGGTCTTTAATCAAGTCCACAAAAGGTGTACATAGGGTGTCATCAGACAGAGTATCAGACAGAGTAAACACAAGCATATTAAATAGAGACGGGTTGATATACCAATACTTATCTAACAAAAGTTATATCACTGTTATCACATAATGTCGTAAACAGTTGGAATACATTGTGTTTTTCTAATAATCTCGGCTTATCTTTATATCTGGTCCATGACAGAAATATTGCGTATTTTGCTACAGTAAGATAACTGTTGGAAGAATCGCTAAGTAACACTGATTCTATATCTACATTTATGTGTCTATTAAATATTTGCTCAAAGATTTCTTCCCAGTACCCTGTTAAGCGTTTACAGTGGATGAACATATGCATATAGTTTTCAACAGTATTACACTGTTGTAGTTTTAGGAGGCTCCTAAAAAGAATGTAAACAAACAACGCGTTCTTCGGCAGCTTCAACACGTTATTGCAGCGCAACGACGTTGATCTTTTACTCCCCAAATGTCATTATGAACCCAGGTAGGCTTATAGCGCAAGAAAATGTGTAAAACAACGATGTTTACAACAGTGAACAATCGTACATAATATTGCTTTAATTTTATTGAAAATGGATTGCCAAAAAACCCATTCATCCAAAAATTAGACTTCGGTAAGTTTCCATGCTATGATGATGTATGTTCCTTCTATTCCCTCCCCAGAACACAGTTTATATGTGTGGACGGCGATGCGGAAGGCGCAGAAAGCTCCTCCCGGTTACGGAAAACCTCCCGACTCGTTCCCGTGGAGGTGCGGTGCAGCGAGGACGGGCGGACCGGGTCGTCCTTCCCCTGCGGGCCGTATCAGAACGGCCACGAGCTAACGTGTGCCGTCTGTACAGCGTAGAGAACAATTTTCTTTTCTCTTTACTGGGTGAGCGCTACCTCTATGGGTGTAACGTACGGGGGGATTACTGACCATTGCTCAACTCAGAAATCCTGGTATTCGGGCTTTCAAAATTGGACTCTGTATATTCCTTTAACTTCGGGCCAACATAGCCAGGGGAAAATGAGAATTATGAAACGTGTTGTAAAATATGTAGTGCATATATAGAATAGGAACGTCAGTTATTTTACTGTATTCTATATATCGACTATGATTTTTATGTCAATTTTGACAAATCCCAAATGTCGGAACACTGAAAAGAGAAAGAAAAAACTTATCAATTTGACGCACTTTGTAATAAGCAACCCTCGCCACGTGTATGTATTACAATATATGTATGGACCTAAAGACCGGTGTTTTCCTCTTCTTATAATGTCAAAGCATAACAACTATTGCAATAAGAAATAGATGTTCGCTAGAGTCAATAATATAGACTAGATACATGTAATGTTTGCAATATCAAATGCATGAACGTATAGAAATATAAGGTCCCAACTTCATCCCTGACAGGGGATCATATTAACTCTTGAAGTGACCAGGACACTTGCTGTGTTGAATATAATCAGTACGTAGGTTACTGTTTCAAAGCCGTTTAAGCTGCTTTGCTTCCATTTTTGGAAAGTTTTAGGAACGACTGCTGTGCTTGTATCTGAGTACAGATGTGTATCCGACACTTAGTATATGAATGCATGAAGGTACTAACGTAGACCCAAGCTTAGTTATTAAGACGCTGTTAAGATTTATTTACTTAATATTAAGATAAGTAAATGATACGTAAATATAGGGAAAAAATGGAGAAAAAATCGTTTTCTTATGACAGATATGTAACGTTTGCAACATATTTTGCCATTGCCTGTTTTGATTAGTTTCTCGTTTTGAAAGAGATATTAAGTCCATATTAGGACATATTTGTAAGATTTAGAGTTAGGATAAAAGAGCCCTGGGTCAATATGTGATGACTGAACTGTGAACACATGTGAAAAGCTACATTCGACACTGGTCCTTCCGATTTAAACCGACAGTACCAAGTGTGTGAAATATCCATAACTAAGCGCGTTACATATTGCAAAAAGCACATTCTCTTCTAAATCAAGTAGTCCTTCAAAAATGATTTGACGAATCCAAAAAACTAGTGTTATTAGTTTAACCATTCCTAACGTTAATAGAAAAGAATACCAATAAGATACAATCATATCTGTAATGTCACAAAACATTGTTGGATAGTATCTCAAAAGGCGGTGTATAAAACAGGATTCACCAAGTTCAATGTTTGTAGTGTACATTTTTTTACTTGTGGTGAATTGTTCAACTAAGTAGATAAAATCCACATAAACGTGTAACTAGGCAGGTGGGTGTTGACGTTAAAAAGATCGTACGTCAAACACTGAGACACATACAAGTATGTCAACAACAAATCGGAAAAAGGTAGTCATGACGGCATGCCAGCCCCGGCTTAAGACTTCGTTCTTTCTTACAGTCGTGTTGATTCAATTTCACTGCGTTATCATCAAATATCAGGGCTCGAAATTCATTTTTGGGAATAGGTGCATTCTACCTAAAACAAGATTACAAATCTTACTGCTCCTCTTCTGAGCTTGAATCTGAAATGGGAGCTAACTTCAAAATGTTAACAAGTACTACAACAAAAATTGTATCATTTTTCTGATACTTAGATGCCAAGAATATCCTGTATACTATTATACACATGATACATACAAAATACCTTCAAAATATTTGTGCATCGATCCACAGAAAAAAATTGGGTGCACAGGTCCAATTTTGGGTGCACTGCGTATACGGTACACATGCACCCAGTATTTCGAGCCCTGAATATGGTATCACAGGTATGCCTTATGTTATACATAGTACCGTCTCCTGAGAAAGCCGTCCCACTCCTCCGTCCTCCTGACCAGCATACTACATGTGTCCCTGCTCACCTTGAACTTCTCGTGCCACTTGTGCTTACGGAAGATGGCCGTCTTGTTCGTCACGGTGCTGTGGCAATACTGCGACACCTTTCGTAAGATGTTCCGATAACACTCGACCTCCTCGTCAAACTCCGGACCCTCTTCGGCAATCTTCGCCCACAGCGTTCTGTTGAAATGTTCGTATAGGAAGTAATCGACCATGTTGAATCGTCTGAAGTTTACAGCAAGACTGTCAGGTCTGGGGCGGAAGTCTACGTTACGGATCTTACTGAAAAATAAATGTCTCATATCATATATAATATCCTGGACCTTCCAACACATGTACCTCTTCAGCAGCACCAAGGACTGGTCTAAGTACTCGTAGATGAGAACCAAGGCGAAGTCTGAGTCCAGCTGTTTGATGACGTCCATTGCTGCCTGAGTGTCCTTCATGTTCATGGCGCCATCCAGCGGGAAACCCAGAACTGCAGACATACAGTTCCTGGTGCAGTGGGACGTGGTCTTTTGTGATTCCCAGTAGTTTGGATCGTCTAGGTAGTCCTTTAGGGACGTTGCACGTGAACTTGACCCTTGTCTAAGGTATCTGTACATCTTCGACTCAAAGAAGTCTGTCTCAAACCTCTGAAGGGGATGTCTTATGATTGTGATGTACTGAGTAGTCTCTGGGAACATGGCGCGCATGGCGTCCTTGTTGTATCGTGCTCGATGTGCGAGGATGTTGACCTGGTTAGGGCGGGAAAAGTTGACGGAAGGTTGAAGGAAGTCTTCCCGACGGATTTCTCCGGATCCTATGGACGGGCTGCCCGGAATGACCGGCAGGGTGACGAACAGGTCCTTCTGATACCCAAACCGGAATAGAACGGATTGTACCACTTCGGACCCGCATGCAGGGGTGTAGATGAACACCACGTCCGTATTCAGGATGCACAGACCTTCTTCTTCTTCCGACTTGCTGGTAGAGGGGAAATAATGGGATTAATTCACTATCATCAGTTAGTTGGCCTTGATCAATCAAACTCCACATTTTCACACACCAAGTGCGTAACAGGACTATAGCGGAAACGTAACCTTATAGTTAAACCTAATTTGGGTGACAATGAATTTAGATACAACTGTATTTCTCTTGATACTGTTTAAGCTAGCGACTTGTTCTATCAAGAAAGCCAGGCACTATGCTAGGTTTACACGTTAAAAGTCCATGAGATATTCCCAATCTCCTGCTCTTGTGGATAATCACAGCAAAATTTAGACCACCCCTTTACGCTCTTTACGCTTAAAATATATTTCTCCCAAAGACCCAGTGTCAGAGCTGTGCTTACGTGAGAGCCAGCGGGAAGACATGTTCGGTGAGACCGCGGTGCGCCGCCGTGGTCTGCAGTACCGTCTCCTCCCGCGAGAGGACCAGGTACAGTGCCACCACCGTCATGACGGGCAGCAGGAGAACCACGAACACCGCCGCACGGACGTCTCTGTTCTCCATACTGAGGGGGAAACGGTCGTTATCGCAGGGCTGGAAAGTCATTTTCATTCGCAATGAAATGCAGAAACATATATAAAGGCACACAGACACACAGACCCCCTCCCTCTCGGGCACTCAAAATACACACACACACACACACACACACACACACACACACACACACACACACACACACACACACACACACACACACACTCACCCCCCCCCCACACACACAGCGTAATATGTAAAGCCACTTAGTCACCTTTTACGTTCACCCCTCCCTTCAATTACACGTTCGTCTGTGCTCAAAGCTGTTGTGTGTTCAATTTGTTGGCGGCACATTTACCTTCAATACAAACAACCTCAAGTTTTGATGCGTGACAAAACTAATCTTATGCTTCATTATACATGTAATATGTTAACGACACCTCAAGCTGCCTAGCGCCTAAAGAGACCACTCAATGGACTGAGCAAAAGTGAAATTGTAGACAGTTGGTCTCGATGTTCAGATTAGCGCCAGACAAGGGGTGAGAGGGCGTTCACCTCAGTGAACCATATGCATTGATGTGAGAACATGAGACACTTGTCGACACTCACAGCCCCCAAAACCCATGGGTTGAACATGTATACAATCATGACAGACTTTAATTTCTGAGTTTGCTTCTTCAATCTATGTGAAAATCATTAGACAAGCAGTATGTTTCGTGCACACACAACACATCAATTATAGAGAAAACGTCGTGAGAAACAGAAAACTATTGTCTATGTAATTTTAACAAAAGAGAAAGATTGAGCAAAACCTTTTCATCAACCGCTGGGAACTGCTCCGTCTTCTGCGGACTGTCCTCATCGTTGATTGTTCTTAGATAAAACGTCTTAAGACGACGATCAACGTGGAAGAAATGTACTCATGACGTGTGCGTGTTCTGTGGTACCCTTGAAATGTTGACTCGCCCGTTGTGTGATTTTCGCGCAGACAGAACCGGTTGGGCAGGTGCTGATATGAACAACCTTTCAGGAACGACATCTAGCGATATCGCCTCAACTTGCAATGTTTCCGACTGTATGTATATGTGTGGAGTATATCAAAAGATAATCACTTTATAATATTAGGTTAAAACGTGAACGTGCCATTCTCCTAAGCACGAGATATCTACCTTCACAGAAAGTAAATAAAGCCAGAAAGAACAGGAAGATGGCAATCAAATAAAAGGGACTGTGATCAATTTTTTTTTATTTACACCATCATAACATACAACCAACCAAATAAACGTTTGACAGCAATGCATAATTTATAATTACAGTTCAAAGCTATAGTGGAATACAAATAGAATTACAATTAGTAGCCACTCACCGAAGATATATATATATTGCCGTAATATATATAACATTGGTTTCGAGTAAAATTCTTCTTTTAATAACAAAATACTTCGATAGGTACATGTATATCGAGTTCTATAACGTACTCGACGTGTGACTCTTCTCAAAAGCGGGACCCCGAATTTAGTTGTTGTTACGCTGTGACTAATATGAACTGTACCGCGCTCTGAACAGTTTGTCCCATTCACCTGCCTTCATCCTCAGTTCCCCGCACATCTGTCTGGTCACAACAAACTCGTCATCCCATTGGCTACTCCACACCACCGTCTGGTTAGCCACCTTCCAGTCGCGTATCGCAGAACTGCAATACCGCGACACCTTGTCTAAAACGTGCTTGAATTGCTTGACCTCGCGCTGGAAGTCCTCACCCTCCGCGGCAACCCTGGCCGAGAAGACGTCGTAGAAGTGATAATACAGCAGATAGTCAGCCCCGTTCACCCGTCTGAACAGGATTTTTTGTTCCTCCTCTATTTTACCTCTCTGAGTGGCCGCTGGTTCCATGAGACCTGCGTCATACAGTATGTCCTTGAAGCTCCAACACATGTACCTCTTCAGCAGCACCAGAGACGGGTTCAACTCCTCGTAGATCAGAACCAGAGCGAACTCTGACTCTAACTGATCGATGTAGTCCATCACCGTTTTGTCTCCCGACCATGGGGACATTTTCATGCCCGTGCGGACGGGTATACCCAAGGCTTGGGACATGCAGTTACTGGTGCAGCGGGGGTTCGCGTGCATTTTTCTCTTTTCCCAGAACTCCGGTGCGCCCAGGTACCTCTTCAGAGCAGACTGGGCCTGTCCTGCCCTGGGCGCAACATCAAACTGCTTCTCCAACTGGGAGGACACAAAGTCCGTCTCAAACCGGTCCAAGGGGTTCCTCAAGATGGTGATGTACTTAGCGTTTCCTGTGACAATTTTGCTCAGGGCATCGCGGTTGTAGCGCACCTGGTGGGCGAGAATGTTTACCGCCGACTGTCGTGAGACCAAGGCCGGCGGCTGGAGGAGGTCCTCCCCGCGGATGTCGCCGGACGCGAGGCCCTGCCCGATGAACGGGCTGCCCGGTTTGCGCGGCAGGGTGACGAACAGGTGGTTACGGTAGCCGAACCGGAACAGGGAGTTCTGCAGGACGTCAGACCCGCACGCCGGGGTGTAGATGAACACCACGTCGGTATTCAGAACGCACAGCTTTGTATGTTTCCTACAGAGAAATATATACTAGTATATCATAAAAGATTTCTTAAGAGTTTAACGAGACGCTTTTTAAAAATGTTTCTTTTATTTGTCGTCTCGGAAACCTTACTAAAACCACGTTGTAGATAGAAATAAAAAGATGATTAAATTTGCAAAGTGTTGGCATCGATTTACAATTACTAACTGCACTGGACAAGGTGGGGCTTACTTACTCCAATGTCGTCTAAGTCATTACATAATTTATAGATACGGATAACTTTGCTTACGTTGTCTCCATTAAAGCGACACTGTTGTTATCGGGGTGTTCTCGGACGCTGTTATCGGCCTGGACGCGGCGGACGCCGCTGGGGTGGCCTTGTTCCGCCTGGACGCTGCCACCGCTGCGGTTACTGGGAGGCCGCGGCCGGTGAATCAGTTCATTCTCTATGACGACCAGGAAGACAGCCGTGATCACCACCGCAGCCTTGAAGACCAACCAACTTCTCCTGCTCATAGTAACCGTGACGCTGGTAAAGAAAAAAAACACAATTTAGCATCAGAAGCTAAACCGAGAAATTCTTGTCCCCAAATTTGGGACCGCTTCCTTGAGCCAGGGACAAACTACCACACGGCTGTTCGAAAACCATAAAATTCACGCATTTAGATCACACATGTGCACTACTGTAGCCACGTTGCCGATGGAAAAGTCACATGTACGTACATTTGTTGGAAATGTATGCAGCTCACACGTCTAATAAATAAAAAAAACAATGAAAGGGATTTAGGGTAACAAAAACTCCTGACCTATATACATGCATCATGCTTCAATTAACATAGATATACCGTCGTTTGCAATTAGTTTTCTACGTCAGTTTGTAAAAAAATCGTGATTTTAATGCAACGTTTGTGATCAAGTCAGCATCAGTTGCGTGAACAAAATGATTGTGTGCTGTGATTTCTCAAGGCCTGAAGTCACTTTTCAATGACATGTCCTTCAAATATTTGTATGTAAAAATTGACTAAAATGACCATGGCCATATGTATGTAATATACAACTCCTCTCGACCGTAAAGCAAAGTATAAGTACTCAATGACATATAAGTCTCACGGCCTCACTAACTGTACCCAAACGAAACGAAACGAAACGAAACAAAACACGACAATCAATTACAGTAGATGTGTCGCTCATTAACTGTTTTAATACGATATATAGGGTGTACAAAATCAGCGTGCAAGCCCAAACAGTCTGTATAGTCTCGGACTTACCTTACCTACATGTACACCGGCAACAGTTGCTATGTCTCGGGGTGGTACTCCCAACTTCCTGTCGTAAAGACACAGGACACACCAACCGTGTTTTATAACACGTCAAGCTGTACCGACATGGAGAGCTGCACTGAACTGACGGTATCACCAGTAGGTATTGGATCCTATCGGAGGCACAGCCGGTTCGGCAAGTAGATACTTTAACTCGAGTGCGTGCCCTGCGGACAAGCTCTGCCTACCGACAATAGACCATTCAAACTCTTAGATTATATGTAATTACTTGGAAACCCAACATTTGCTGGCGAGCAAATACAGCATATTTCACCCTTTCTTCCTCCCTATTTCAAAATACTAGTAGACTGTTCCATATCAACCTTTTCCATACCCTCCTGTTCGAGGACTGCCCCGTGGTCATTTGAGGTCATCCAGTAAAAAGGCACCCCCCTCACGTAGTGAAGTGTTATAGAGCATACGTTTAGAAATTGTGATGTCATGCAAATAAATAAATCAATAAATAGATCAATCAATTGATCATCTTTATTCAAATTTTACGGTCATGTCGGCTATTGTTATTTTCATTGTCTCCATGTTTTCTCTTCCTTTTGTCTCAATAACACCTACAACTAGATTTAGTTTTACTAAATGGGACGTTCACTACATTGTAGTGTATGTGTTTGAATGTGTCATATCAAAATCTCCTAACAGTACTACTACACTTTTGAAAGAAGCCGTAACTTTTGCAAGAAGCCGTTAACGTTCTAAGAAACGTTGATGTTTCCATGGCAACTGTAATATGTAATAATTTGTTCCAATGGTGGACTCAGTGAGAAATATGTAAAGTCTAGTACAACAGAAACTCTGCCGTATTCTTATTTCGGAGAGCTGTGATAGCTGTGATAGTCGACTCCAACCGTTGCCAGACAATGACAACATCTAGACCTTCTAGACGTTTATAATCGGTAGTTTTGACCCCCTGGGACGGCGGCGTTTGGAGGAAAAGTAACGCTCTTTCAGCAGACTTTCCCATTCGCGCCTATCGCGGCCGAACTGGTAACACATGCCTCTGGTGAAGTCGAACTTCTTGTTCCAGTCGCTGGCCGCTATGACGGTGTGGTTCGCCGAGGTCCAGTTCCCCACGGCCGCTCGGCAGTACTTCGCCACTTCCTTCTGTATGTTCTGGAAGTTTTTAACCTCCTTGTGGAAGCCCGGCCCTTCTGCCTCAATCTTCCTCCACAGCGTCTTGTTGAAATAGTCGTACACTAAGTAATCCATGGAGTTCACTCGTCTGAAGTTACGAATGTGATCTTCGGTTGACAAACGTGCTAGAGTTTCTTTCCTGGGCAGCAGGGTCGTTCCAACGTAATGCATGATGTCCGTGACGCCCCAGCACATGTACCTCTTCAGCAGCACCAAGGACTGGTCTAAGTACTCGTAGATGAGAACCAAGGCGAAGTCTGAGTCCAGCTGTTTGATGACGTCCATTGCCGCCTGAGTGTCCCTCGTGTTCATGGCGCCATCCAGCGGGAAACCCAGAACTGCAGACATACAGTTCCTGGTGCAGTGAGACGTGGTCTTTTGTGATTCCCAGTACTCGGGGTCGTCTAGGTACTTTTTAGGCGACTCTGCCTCCGCCGTTGTGTTGAAATGTTTGTCCAATCTGGAGTAGATAAAGTCTGCCGCAAACCTGTGAATCGGAAGCCTCAACATGCTGATGTAGCGAGTGTCTTCTGGGAACATCTTTGACATGATTTCCTTGTCGTAGCGGGCCGGCTGGGTGAACACGTTGATGGTTTCTTCCCGGTACACTCGATGCGACGCCGTCACGCCTGAAGGACGGAGGTACTGTGTGGATCGGACGTCGTCGTACCCGCGATTGTTCGTAGAATCTCTCTTGTTGACTGGAAGGGTGACGAAAAGGTCCTTTAAGAATCCGAACCTGGAAGGAACGTTGACAAGAAATATATGAGGTTGATGTTCTAGACAATTATCTTGTAATCTTAAAAGCTTATACGAGTCACGTTATCTAGTAATGTCGTTAAGTTAGTTAGTATTTTGTTATACATATGACATGTTTTTCGAAGAAGACAAAACAGACTGCGGATGAATATGTGAGCATTTTAGATCGTATTTCAATAGTCTGATGTGTGAAAAACATTAACCTGGTCATGATGCAGTGCAGGATGCCAGAGTCAGCCTCGGGTGCGTAGATGTAAACAACGTTTGTATGGAGGATACACAGATAGTGGCCCACGTCCCTATAAGATAGAAGAACAATTTCATGAATATTCATTCATTTTTTATATGTGGATGCTCGTCGCCAGCTGTCTAAAAGTACATTGTATATGACTTCGTCCTATTTTCACGTAGGAAACCCAGCTACTCTTGTCCAACCAATCACAATCATTCCATGCAGAAGTGTCACATCCAATCACAAATACCGTGACTACATACTGTTGCACTGTCTTCTCCTATTACAGAAAACGTCACAGAAACGCTAGCTGATTGGCCAGCGTTAGCCAATAAAAACTGACACTTGCCTCTTTACCACGGCTGGGGTTGGCGGCATGTCGCCGACTATGTACAGCTGCTGTGATTGGTCCAGCTCTGATTGGTCCAGCTCTGATTGGTCCTCCTCTAGATCTATCACTCGATGCGTGGCTTTGCTGTTCTCTGAGATGTTGAGGTACATGATGACTAACGTCATCGCGGCCAACACAAGGACCAGTGACATCAGCTTCTTCTCACCCATACGACTCGAGCTGGATATATTTTCAAGAAATAACGTCAAGAGATTTTCACAGGTGCTTGTATGAATGCTGATGACATCAAGTCTATGATCAGTGGGATATTGTATTTGAAATGCACCTAAGGCCATGTTAATTTGATTATATGGATGACATCCTCTGGGAACCCCAAAAATGATACGAGCGTGCGAATAAAAAACGGTTGGCAAAAAAGTTGCTTTCATTATGAAATCTACGTGGTCATGAAGGTATGAAGGTTGAGCAAACGACACAGTAATTGGTATGGCGAATTATCTACTCTTCAAATTCATTTCTTTACATTTTCGTCTTTTTTTTGTTTGTTTGATTTTGGCATTCTACGACATTGGTATATTGTCTGCAATATTTTTTGGAAACGGCCGAAAATTCATGCGCGCGCGGATGTCATCCATATAATCAAATCAACATGGCCTAATAGATAGAAAATCTTGATCATTACATATATTCACCTCTCTTTATCTGGCCGTTCCAAATCTGAGCTACCATAGTATGTGTAACGTTAATCAAGGGATACTAACACAATAGTACAATGTGCTTTCTCATGCAGGTCAAAGGTTTGACCTTAAATGTAGATTACGTGAAGCCTATTATCATGTACGTTTCTTTAAGGATCGAGGCCGGTTGACATACTTCGTATCTATCCAGCCGTACATAATAACAGGCACAACAATAGTAGTCGAGCTGGCGTCAGAAAGTCAAAGGTCAAGGTATTTTACATATGAACACAGCTTTTAGATACATGCATTCTTAATACCAAGGAGTGTATTTAACCTCATCGTTATACAAACCTATGCGTCAACAAAGCTTGGTGGATTGAACTACCTAGTACATGCATCATTTTTTGACAGTTGACAAATTGTTGTGACGTTGACTTGAATGGAAAAGAATAGTTTGGCCAAAGAAGCTCAATACTTGGTTTGGCCAATACATGGAGGTTATAGCTATATAGGTTCTATTGAAAGCTCCTTAACCAATATCAAAGTTAACCTTCAACACTGAGCATAAAACACAGCATAGGGTGCATATACATGTATATCTGACGCCGCAAAACTGCTTGACTTACCATTGCATCTTGTCGGCAATTCTCAAAGGGAGGCTGGTTGAAAAATAGGACAAATTTGTGGACAAAACAAACTCTAGTTGCAAATCATGTTGTAAACACAACCGGTTGGTCGGGTTCAGGGTATTTCGAAAAGTGGCACCTAGCGGTATCTAGACAAACTGCACCCTTGCAGCGCTTAGTGGCGCATCATCCTATTAGCACTCCTGGAGGGATGTAGTGGGCACTATTATCAATACCACAGCATGCATGGGTTAAATACGCAGGAATAAGAGGCTTGAAATGATTCTTGGTGCCGAAGCTCAATTGCAATTGGTCCCGAAAATTACTAGTAGTCACTACACTATACACATAAGTTTCCCCACACCATGCAAGCCAAATTGTGCCTGTGGAACATATGGCACCTTGGGAGGGTTAAAAGAAAAACAAACAAATAAACAAACAAACATGCAAACAAGGAAGTTCAGGAGGCCTTTATTGCTGCTTGTCGCCATGTAGAGACATGAACATGTGGGATTTTCCACATTAAACAACTACAGTGGAACAAGGATATTGGCATATTCTGTGATTCACATTGTCTTTTGGCAAATACATTTGTACACCTTCCCAGCATATATGGCTTGTTAACTGCAGCATGGAGCATGGGATGGCTTTTTCCCACACTAAATTTTTACGTTCTCCTGAATTCTTTGCTGATATCTGTTTAACATAGCTACATGTACATCTATGTAGTCCTCTCTGATGAAGAACACTTTGCGTGGACATAAAAGCTGGACAATCATACATCTTGCATTCAACTAACTGATATTAGGATGTAACAAGATGGAGCAAGACTTCTTCTTTGTACACATGAGACTGAGACATTTTAGATACATATAGTATCATTCACATTGTCACTAGGATTGCATCTACAATGCAGCAATTTTGAGGAACTATACAATGAAGTAGATATTGCTGGTTACTAGAAAAGATGAGCACAATGTTAGAGCATGTAAAATATTTAGTTAAAAATTGATGTATTTCAGTGTTCAGTTTGCTGACTGTATTGGAAAAAGATGCATTACATTACACAGATGCAATACATTACACAGTGAATGGATAGGACACAATGTTACAACATGTTAACAGCCAATGCGCAACAATTTTGATCAGTATTGGTTATAGTGTGCGTAATGCAGTTTGCTGTACAAATTAAGTCAAATTTCTAGTACAATTTGAGTGCTACCTGAATATCAAGCTTAATTGAAACAAGCTAAAAAATGGCAGCTATGCTGTCCTACAATGTACTGTATGCAATTTTGTTTGTTTGTTTGGGCCTTTGTTTACTAGACATATTCACGGCCGTTTTATATTGAGGTGATGAGGAAACTGGTAAGGGTTTGGCAAAATATAAAGAGATACAGGTTATACATGTATGATTGAAGTCATAACAAGTCTGTAACATATTGTGTCTCATGGAGGAAACGATTATCTGGTCCACCACACATGGTACAGTCTGCATTCAGATATGTTACAGATACATGTATCAGTAAATGACGTGTATAAAGTGGGTAGTGCTAATAGGGGAATTCACTGGTAGATGTAATGATACATGTAAATTAATGAACCAAGTAACTGTTTATTGTTGATTTTTTTATATGAAGTACAAACAAGGCATCTTTCAATATAAATTGCAATATCATACAGCTTCCTGTGCTCATTCAATAATGAATGTTGTGATATCAAATAAAATCTAAAACAGACGTAAAAAAATTTAAATAAAAGCTAAGTTCTGAAACATTTTTGGTGTCTGTGTATATGTAGAGCCGTATATAATGCATAATTCAAGTGCTCTGAACTTTTTTAACTATCATAGTATATGTTTACTGACTAAAATTGTTTTTCATTTCATTACCTTGTGCAAGTTTTGAATCTGTAAAATAAAGGAAGAAAAATTTTGCAAAAGGCTTATAGGCCTGGTTTCCTATGTTTTTCCTCAATATGAACTTTCTTTACACTAATGTTAAAAAATAATCTAAAATACATTTTTTTGCTGATGGAAAGTGTCGTACAGATTTGAAATTAATAATATACGGAAAATTAATGGACTAATATTTATTTGAAGGAATGGCAACAAAAAGATTTGGAAAGCAAGCAAATATTCCACAAATCATTTGAAAACAGACAAGGAAGCAAAAAACAAAATGGAGCCCTGAGAATAGATCAGCAAAATTTCAAGAGACGGTAATATGTATATATACAGTATATATTCAATAGAAATATCTGTATACTATGTATGATACAGTACATATCAAGCACATACCGTGTATTTTAGAGACCATATATTATGTACTACAATTATACAATATATGTGCATAATATACTATACTTAATACACATTTTCCTCTCATTTTCTTGTTGTAATATCACAATGAGTAAGACAATAAGAAATGTTTTGATTTGAATGACCATGGAAATCAGAAGGCAACTCTGGTGTGATATGACATTTGGCTAGTACCTGTGTGGAATAGCTTAGCTTCTAACAGGCCCTCCTATTGGTCAGGTCCTCAGAGGGAGGACCAATCAGCTCAGCCGTGAGAGAACTAGTAGTGTGTAACACAGGCTAAGTTTGGAATAGATCTTTGAAAGGATCTGGAAGAAAAATAACCAAATCCAAGAGGAAAGGATATAATCATATTACATACCAACATTGTAATTTTGTTCATTTCCACACATTTTTCAATAGTATGAAAAAGATCTGTGGCATTTACCGATGAAATGTTTGTAATTTATATATATATAAGGTTTGGCTCCGATCATTTTTTAACTTGCCTTTATTTTATACATTCTTAAAATATTTGTTGCAGATACCAGACTCTGGGTCCAATGGAATCATTTACCCATCAAAGCTACATTATAATTTCACAGAAAGCTGAAACAGCTTTTACGCAACCACTGAGCATTTATTTCATAAGCTACAATTTTGTATCTTTAGCACAAATTCTTACAAAATTAACCTAAGCATTGGCAACAATGTACAAGCAGCAACTACAAATACTTTCTTGTACGGACATTTTTAATTATTGTATACAACATGGATTTATTTACATATCATTATGTTGTCAATGGCAACAGATTGCAATTATTGGGAGCAAATATATCAAAATTTGAATGTTGCTTCCTTTAACCTAGTTTAAGGCTTCCACCATTTGTTTCTTTTCAGTTTCTTTGACATTTCTAAGACATTCTTTTAAGCAAAGCTAATATTTACTCACTTGGGTAGACTGATATTGAAACTTTGTCCTTCCTGTTTTTCCTCTTTATTTTTTTTATAATGTCTTTGTTTTCGCCACCTTTTTTTTTTGCATTCTTTCTAACTCTACTGTGACGGTCATTTTTGCTCCCAGCAAAGACTTAATACTTTTGAAGGTTTCAACTGTTCTTGGAGAGAAGAGATGGCACCAAGCATCACGCACCAACACAGTACAATTGCACCACTTGTTTGTTACTTGCCATAATCTTTCTGTACTGCACATTGTAAGTACTTAATAAAAAGAATTTTTTTTTACAAAATCTTCACTGGCTTAACTACTGAAATCTCAGGATCAATTTCTGCTCTTGCAGAGTGTTGAAATTGAACTTAAAAAGGAAGATTGCCTGCAATTTTCCACCCCTTGCAACTGCGATTCCCTTTCTCCAGGCATTGCACACACAACTCTTTTTTGGCAAGGTGCTCCCATGGCCACTCCCTGCTTGGCAAGACTCCTCCTGACACTACTTGTCTTGTAACATCTTCACACACCTGTCCAACACTTCCATCCACCTGGGGAGCAAGAATGTTGTCATGTTAGTGATCAACACACTAGGTGAGCACTTTAGGTGAGAGAATTGGTTGTGTAAAAGAAAACTACTGTATCCTACAATGTATACTTTACCAACCTGAAGAAACTATTTTGAATTTGGAAACGTTGGCATTTCCTCATGGGCAGTATCATTTCTCTCCCATTTCTCTAGTATGTTCTGCTAACTCATTGTGAGTCTTTCTCTTTCAGTTTTTCAGAGGATTTTAGAATACAGAAGGAACTGACTTGAGTTGAAGTATACAAATGAGTGACTAGTGCGCACTGTTTGAATCTCACCTGTTTTTTCTTCTTGGAGTCATCAGCTGCGAGCATGTAGACCTGCGTGGCCTGGCTGAGAGAGAAGACATGTTCTCTGTCGGTCGTCTCCAGAGGGTCCAGCTCAGATATGGAGTAACCAGGCAACGGTATGGTGAACTCTGCTTTCACATCCTGAGGTACATGTAGGGAACATGGGATTTCACCATAAAACAAGATATCATATAGTACTACACTGTACATTTCAGTTGAAATGTAGAGCTTCCAAGAAGAAGGAACTTAAACTTGGAGTGGCGTGAGCCAATTCTTGAAACATATGCTATAGTTCTTAAGATACTTAATACATCGACTCTTAGCTACAAAAATATCATACTAACTAGAAAGGAAACCATTTGCAAAGCAAACGCATAATGTTTACCTTCGCATATGGCCTGCTCTATTGATTCTTACTCAAACACACACAAATTTTATACTGTATATATATATGGTCAGACAGGAGTCTAAATCCCTCCTGCTATAAAATTGCAACATGATGTAATCCAACACTACTTACAATGTACCATGGTAACAGTCTAGTTCAGGTCATTGACCTTTTTGGTTTGGAGACGAAGAGGAAACGTACACTGGGCAAAATGGCCACGGATCCCGGCAGATACCGTCGCATCCGTCAAATCGATCCGTCACGGATGCGGAAGATTCCGAACAAATGCGAACAAATGCCAAATCCGTGAAGGATACGACAAAATACCCAACGGATGTGATACCGTATCCGCTCGGATAGCAGATACACTATGGATACGATGTTTTATATGCTCGAATCCCTAACTGTAAACGAATACGGATATATCATTTGCACGAATCCTTAAATAAAAACATTTGCAAGGATCGAGAGGAATAAACTTTTTCATTCACTCATTAAATTTTCTTACTAACATAGACAGGTTTGACAGTGCCCACTCTATCAAAAAAATACATTGGTGGTTATACGGATCCTATCAAATCCGCGTTCCGTATCTTCTACGAATCCGCTGGCCAAATGAACGACCAGGGATCCTATCAAATCCGCTATCCGTATCTTCTACGAATCCGCTAGCCAAATGAACGACCAGGGATTCTATAAAATCCGCTATCCGTATCTTCTACGGATCCGCTAGCCCAACCCACGACCAGGGATCCTATCAAATCCGCTATCCGTATTTTTACGGATCCGCTAGCCCAACCCACGACCAGGGATCCTATAAAATCCGCTTTCCGTATCTTCTACGGATCCGCTAGCCCAACCCACGACCAGGGATCCTATCAAATCCGCTTTCCGTATCTTCTACGGATCCGCTAGCCCAACCCACGACCAGGGATCCTATCAAATCCGCTATCCGTATCTTTACGAATCCGCTAGCCAAATGAACGACCAGGGATCCTAACAAATCCGCTATCCGTATCTTCTACGGATCCGTTGGCCAAATGAACGACCAGGGATCCTATCAAATCCGCTACCCGTATCTTCTACGGATCCGCTGGCCCAACCCACGACCAGGGATCCTATCAAATCCGCTATCCGTATCTTCTACGAATCCGCTAGCCAAATGAACGACCAGGGATCCTATCAAATCCGCTATCCGTATCTTCTACGGATCCGTTGGAGAAATGAACGACCAGGGATCCTAACAAATCCGCTATCCGTATCTTTACGGATCCGCTAGCTCAACGCATGACCAGGAATCCTATCAAATCCGCTATCCGTATCTTCTACGAATCCGCTAGCCAAATGAACGACCAGGGATCCTATCAAATCCGCTATCCGTATCTTCTACGAATCCGCTAGCCAAATGAACGACAAGGGATTCTATCAAATCCGCTATCCATATCTTCTACGGATCCGCTAGCCCAACCCACGACCAGGGATCCTATCAAATCCGCTATCCGTATCTTTACGAATCCGCTAGCCAAATAAACGACCAGGGATCCTATCAAATCCGCTATCCGTATCTTCTACGAATCCGCTAGCCAAATGAACGACAAGGGATTCTATCAAATCCGCTATCCGTATCTTCTACGGATCCGCTTAGCCCAACCCACGACCAGGGGATCCTATCAAATCCGCTATCCGTATCTTTACGGATCCGCTAGCCCAACCCACAACCAGGGATCCTATCAAATCCGCTTTCCGTATTTTTACGGATCCAAGACCAGGGATCCTATCAAATCCGCTATCCGTAGGTAAATTATGCCATAACATCACCAATTCACACACAACTTTTGATCAGGTATGTATCTCATTATTTGGAACGACTCAATTTTGTCATGTGAGGCAAAAAATTCCTTCTGTACAAGAGTGGACCAGCAGATACGTTGTCGCATCTTTGGGGTATTTTTATGTATCCTTTAATGATCTGGGATTTGTTTGCATTTGTTCGGAATCTTCCTGTATCCATGACTGTGTGCAGTTGACCAAAAATGCTTTTCTTGTGTCATTTATGCAAATTATGCCATAACATCACCAATTCGCACACATGACATCGGGGGACATTGCGGCACCTGATGAAAGTTGTTTTGAGCAAAATGCTTGTCGTTTTGCGAATTCCAATTTTTCAGCCAAAAATGCTTTTCTTGTGTCATTTATGCAAATTATGCCGTAACATCACCAATTCGCACACATGACAGTCGGGGGACATTGCGGCACCTGATAAAAGTCGTTTCGAGCGAAACGCTTGTCGTTCTGCGAATTCCAATTTTTCAGCCAAAAATGCTCTTTTTCTCTCATTTATGCAAATTATGCCGTAACATCACCAATTCGCACACATGACATCGGGGGACATTGCGGCACCTGATAAAAGTCGTTTCGAGCGAAAGGCTTGTCGTTTTGCGAATTCCAACTTTTCAGCCAAAAATGCTCTTTTGTCTCATTTATGCAAATTATGCCATAACATCACCAATTCACACACGACTTTTAATCAGGTATGTATCTCATTATTTGGAACGACTCAATTTTGTCAAGTGAGGCAAAAAAATCCTTCTGTACAAGAGTGGACCAGCAGATACGTTGTCGTATCCTTGGGGTATTTTTATGTATCCTTTAAGGATCTGGGATTTGTTTGCATTTGTTCGGAATCTTCCTGTATCCATGACTGTGTGCAGATGACCAAAAATGCTTTTCTTGTGTCATTTATGCAAATTATGCTGTAACATCACCAATTCGCACACATGACATCAGGGGACATTGCGGCACCTGATGAAAGTCGTTTCGAGCGAAACGCTTGTCGTTTTGCGAATTCCAATTTTTCAGCCAAAAATGCTTTTCTTGTGTCATTTATGCAAATTATGCCGTAATATCACCAATTCGCACACATGACATCGGGGGACATTGCGGCACCTGATAAAAGTTGTTTTGAGCAAAATGCTTGTCGTTTTGCGAATTCCAATTTTTCAGCCAAAAATGCTTTTCTTGTGTCATTTATGCAAATTATGCCGTAACATCACCAATTCGCACACATGACATCGGGGGACATTGCGGCACCTGATAAAAGTCGTTTCGAGCGAAACGCTTGTCGTTCTGCGAATTCCAATTTTTCAGCCAAAAATGCTCTTTTTCTCTCATTTATGCAAATTATGCCGTAACATCACCAATTCGCACACATGACATCGGGGGACATTGCGGCACCTGATAAAAGTTGTTTCGAGTGAAACGCTTGTCGTTTTGCGAATTCCAATTTTTCAGCCAAAAATGCTTTTCTTGTGTCATTTATGCAAATTATGCCGTAACATCACCAATTCGCACGCATGACATCGGGGGACATTGTGGCACCTGATAAAAGTCGTTTCGAGCGAAAAGCTTGTCGTTTTGCGAATTCCAATTTTTCAGCCAAAAATGCTCTTCTTGTGTCGTTTATGCAAATTATGCTGCAACATCCCTAATTTGCACTCATGACTTCGGTTCAGGTATGTATCTCATTCATTAGAACGACTCAATTTTGTGGATTGAGGCAAAAAAGCCATTTCTGTACAAGAGTGGACCGGCAGATGCGGTGTCACATCCGTGGGGTATTTTCATGTATCCTTTAGGGATCTGGAATTTGTTTGCATTTCTTTGGAATCTTACTGTATCCGTAACAGTGTACAATTGACTGATTCATTCAAAATTGATACAAAAGCCACATTTCTGTGACTCGGTTTCTAAACAATCTGATGCAATGGCATCCTTCATAGTGAATCCACTAAAAATTAATCTGACCCTGCCCTGCATTCAATTTTTT